AGCATCATGAGCATCAGCTGCGCCTGCCTCAGGCTGTCGCACCCCAACGCGGCCAGCATCATGAGCATCAGCTGCGCCTGCCTCAGGCTGTCGCACCCCAACGCGGCCAGCATCACGAGCATCAGCTGCGCCTGCCTCAGGCTTTCGCACGCCAACGCGGCCAGAAACATGAGCATCAGCTGCGCGTGCCTCTGGCTGTCGCACCCCAACGCGGCCAGCATCACGGCACCCAAGCCGTGGCTATGCCACCAACATGTGTTTTGGCCTTCACACCCTCACATACACACAGCATACGCCATTATATACCCTGCGTACTCCTGCATACCCACTCTTTCAGCCAAAAGACAGCTAAAATCACCCAGGAGACCCAGTTTCTTCATTTCATGTCCATGTTCTGTTCTAGCTGATTCTCTACTGTGCTGTTTTTGGGCCACTGCATACCTTTTGCAAAATCCTCAAGTCCCAAACCCTTAAACCCACGTACCCTACACGCCAAACCCTTTTGCAACAAGCTTCCTGTTTCCGCCCAAACCCTAAAACCCAAATACCCAAAGCCACCCCAAACTCTAAGACCCTAAACAATATGAACCCTACATACCCAAAACTCCAAAACCATAAACGTCACATACCCCAAACCCGAAAACCCCAAACTCTAAGACCCTAAACCCTATATAACCCTTTATACTACTTTCCATGTTCTTTTCCATTATTCCCCATATAACCCAAATATAACCCCTTAACAGCACAGGCGCCAAGAGATGGGTTCACCTCTAGCTCTATCAGCTGCTCTTCCTCCACCCAAGGCGCAATGTAGGGAGCGGGGGAGGGGTTTAGGGTTTAGGATTTAGGGCTTGGGCTTATAGCCCCCCTTGAGTAGATAGAATATGGCTTTGGGTATCATAGAATAATATCCCCATATACCCGATATTCTATCTACTTAAGGGGGGATATGTAACCGAAAGGGAATGTGTAGGGAAATGTAGCGTTTAGGGCGTAGGGATGCCTAGGGAATGTTTAGGGATATAGAATCGAAAGGGGATAGGTATGGTTTTAGGGCTTAGGGAGGTAAACATATACATATATACACATACATTACATACATATCTATATATATATATATTCTTTCTACAGCTGTCTACATATATATATATATATTTATATGTGTGTGTATATTCTAAAGGGGATATGTAGGGCAAAGCAGCGCTTAGGGCCAAGGGGTGCCGTTTAGAAGCGGGGTTCTACAGGGTTTCGGGTTGAGGGCGTGGGACAAGAAAATGGAAACTAACATATTGTTGTTTAGGTTTTAGGTATGTATTCAGGAGCCAAGACATATTCGAATTGTGAAGAATCGCATGCAAAGAAGCTCGTGCATGAAATGGAGGCTGGGTTTCTACGGGGCTGTGCGAGGATAGTGTATAGGGGCCCAAACACTTAGAATGGGCATTGCCATACATTATATTCTATTTGTATGAGCATGGAAATTATTGGCCACTGTTCACGGGTTTCTACATCACTCTTCTTCCCTAAGCCCCAAACCCTAAGCCCTGAGTGTGGATGGATCATTAGCGATTAGGCTACTGCTTCTTAATCTGCTCTAGCCATTCAATCTTCATACCAAAGATAATCATTATGTGAGGTCGGGGGCGGTAGGGGCAGCTTTGAGCGATTGGCCCTCTGAACGCTTGCCCACAAATAATAACTAGTAAGCATGGGCCACACATAGTGTGGCTCTGCAACAACGATCTTCCCTCTAAGCACATGTTAGCAGCACTTTGTGAAGCCAGCGCCCTCAGTTTGCCTCAGCATCCTCAGCTGTCGCAAGCCTCTGCCGCCCAACCACAGCGCTGGTGCCTCAGTGCCGGCTGCGGTGCTCAGATTGTGGATTGGAGTGGATGTCAGTTATGCTAAAGAATCCGATCATGCCTCACCGCCTGATTCGAATGATTTGAGGGAAATGGCCCAAAATGAAGGCTTCGCCAAAGCACGCAGCGGAACGGTCTCGCAAATCTCGCCATCGAGCTCGCCTCAGATGAGGATACTATTGCTGCGATGGCGTGGTAATGCAACTTCGGAAATAAATCGTCATCAGACGCCCTTCAACGCCATCATGTGGGTAGTTCCCAAAATTAGGGTCCCATTTTGGTACCCCTAAATATTAGGTGCCGTAATATAATTCAGAGAATAACCCATGTAGCTTTGCAAGGCCTGCTTCAACCTTCTGGCAACCCAAGGCGTGCTGTTTGCAGGAAACATGTCGTGGCTCATAAGCCGTAAACCGTGCATATGAACCATAGTCTAAACCCCGAGTATCCCCCTTAAAAACCCTATAGTATTCCCCTATATAATCCTCAGTGTAGGCATGCACAAGCTGACAGCAGGCATGGGCTGGAGTCTTAATCTGGTTAAGGAATCTACCTGGTGCTTCCTTTGATACGTTTA